GCAGAATTTACTGAGTTATAGTTAGCTATGACTTGAAGATAGTGTATTGATAGATTTTAGAGTGAGGAAAAGTCACAGAATCTGAGATGACGTATGATACATTCATAGACTTTAATTTAGGATTGTGCCTGGACAGATTTTAGAATAAATGTAAGAAGGCTGTCTGACTCTAAAATGATAAAGGTGCCTGAGGTACACTCTTCCTCTTCGGTGTGTGAGACTCGCCTCTGACCACAGTCTCGCAGTCTCCACTCCCAGATTGCCTCACGCACCGAGTCTCCCTCCCGCTTCCCGTCCTCTGTCATCCTCTATGCAGAGCTCCTGCTTTAGGCCCAGCGCATTACCTGACTCAGCTCCGGTGTGTTTTTTAGTAAGTACCTAGAGCAGCACTTGCCGCTTGCATGCCTCACGTTTTGCTCTGTGCCCTGAAGGGCCCCATGTGTTTGGTGCCATGTGGATTGGTGACATGGCACTTGTTCAAATACTTAGGAGGAAACCTGCAGATTTCCCTTTAAGTCCTCAACTCTAGAGACCAGATTCAAAGCAGAGTGAAAATAACGCAGGTCAGTAGCACCAAGTATTGTATTTTCTAGGTCCACCTTGTATGTCACCATGATGTTAGGAATCACCCTTCTAAAGCCTTGTCCACAGTTTTTCTTGATTCTTTCAGCTAGTAAGATTGGTTGGCCTTCTCACCTTTTCAAAACCCAGGGCACATGTGGTCCAAGAGTCTAATCCCTGTCCCAACAACTTGAGTTTTGGTCATCTCACGGCTGAAATGCAGAGCTTGGCTTCTCTGAGCTCAGCTGAGCTCGCCTGCCTCTTCCCTTTTCCTCTTTAGTGAGTAGGATGAGCACAAGCTTTTACCTAAATAAGGTCCTTTAAAACATGTGTGTGCTTTCATTTGGGGAAAGAACTGACTCTTGCACACTGCAGAGCTTAAGGTTAGCTCCAGAAATTTTAATGTGCAATAAAATATTCTGAAATGTAATGCATTTGTCTTACTTAAAAAGGTAGTATAGACTTCTTTATGATGGCACCTGTGTGTATATGTTTATGTATATGTATGTGGGTGTTTATAAATAAATAAAGCTTTTCTTGCTGGATAAGATATTAAAAATGGGTAATAAAGCCACTGTAATCCCATGGGCCAAAGAAAATGCTGCTTTGGTGCATCACCTCATAATCTTCATTTGCAGACATGTGTGTTCTGTTATATATATTTTTTCATATAAATTTTTCGTGCCACACCATTGTGCCCTCGTGCCAAGAGTAACATTTTGCCATGTAGTTGTAGACTAACATGTTCAAGAGCATAGTTTATAGCCTTATATTTAAAGAGGAAAAGATTCTTTCTCTTGGTGTTAATTGCTAAGGCCCCAGTCACTGGCAGGGAATTTCCCATTTGTTTCCTTGAGAGGAACACTTTATTTGTAGGGAACTTTAGAAATTCAGGCCCCTCATTTTTCCTACTTCTTTCTGTCACTCTCAGACTCACACGTGGGACGTAGGCTTCCCTGTGAGAGTTACCTGAGATGTCTTAGAAGTAGCATTTGCTGCCGCCTGGGTGCTAAGAGCCCATGGTGCCATCCACAGATTCTTCTGCCTCTTAGGAAACCGCCCTTCCTTACCCCAAGTGGTCAAGAGGAGCCATTAAGAAAGGTGCTGTTTCTGCCTCACAAATAAGGCATGGCAGGGTCTGTAGAGTGCAACCCTCCTGCTGCCACAGAGTGGGCAGAGTATACGTGCGTCTAAAAGCCTCAGCGCACGGGGTGCAGCTGCCTCCCACGGCCCTCCCGTGTGCACATGGCGTGAACGTAACTGTGTGGACAAAAGCTGTGTCCTGGGGTTGCTGGGTTGTGGGAAATTTTGCTGCACAGTGACCTTTGAGTGTTCTCCACTGGGTGTCCCAGCTGTTTTAAATCTTTCTGAGTAGTTTTGGCCAAAATAAATTATAAATAGTAATGAGGAGGCTTGTTCCAGCATTCATATTTATTAGATTTTAAGATTTAATGACCATATGTGCCTAAAACAAATGTTTGATTTCTTTTCTCAAAAAGCAGTCCAGTGGAGTTGCTTGATTTTGACTACTTAAATATTAATTTGTGGTCATAACCCACTTTTGGCTCCTGTAAAAGGTGTGGCTTTTTAAAATGAAGTTTTTCGGCAACTAGCTGGCAAAGAGGAACCATTACCTCCTTAAAATAAAAAAGATGTTCTTATCTGTTGTAAATGTAAGTGTGTCCCTTGACCTGGGACATTTTGAAGTATCTCATGGGCCACTTCCTAGAGGAAACAGACTTTGTTTACCCTCCTGTCTTCCAGACTAGTTGATTCTTATATAGTTAACAGTGGAAGGGTCATTAATTAATGCTTGTTTTGAAAGTAATATTTCATTGCCTCAGTGAGATGTGAGTACGTATTAGTGAGAAGGAATTCTAGATAGGGCTGAGGTAGCCATTAGCTAATGCCTCTGACTGATCCCCCCAGTCCTTAGCTCCATCAGAAGTACCCCACTTCCCGCCGTTTGGGTGGTGGACTGTTTACACCTGTCTGCCGCTGTGTCTGCCATTCTGCAGCGTGCTGTTTTCTCTCAGTATTATGCTTTAGAGGCTGGCCAGTTGTTACTGGTAGAGCGAGCTTGTTCCTTTTTACCTGTGCAGAGGGTTTTGTAGGTTGGTGACTCCATAGCCTATTTGGAATTTCCAGTGGGCTTCTAGGTTTCCTTTACACCAATAGTGCTGCCGTGAACATCCTTGTGAATGCACCTTTGAAGGGGTGTGGAGTGTTTCTCTGTAGTTGAAAATGAAAAGCAGCCTTTATTTTATGCAGCAAAATCTTGAGAGATTTAGGACTGACCAATTTTATGAATTACTAGCAGAATGTGTATTGAACCATTTTTCCTGACTCCAGCTAATCACATAATACAAAATTTTAAAGTGTATACAGTGACCTACACTAATATATTCTGAAAAAATCATGTTGGTGAACCTAAGAACACTTAATAATTATTTTAAGAATAAGGGGCTGGGGATTTAGCTCAGCGGCAAAAGCGCCTGCCTGGCAAGCGCAAGGTCGTGAGTTCGGTTCCCGGTACCGGAGAAAAACCAAAAAAAAAAAAGAATAAAGACATCCGAATTGTTAAACACATTCTTATGTATAGGCAAAATACTTCTTTCGCATCTGCTTAGTAAATGGTTTTTCCTGTAGTTAGGATAAGGTAACCACGCCTACTTTCTTTCTGAATGATGTCAACCAAGGAAAATGAGAGAACCGGGAGTGGGGGTGGCCTAGGTAGGAAGTTTTTATAACATATTCTCATAATCAACTATCTTAACAATCTTGGGAAGTGACAGTTTTTGTCTCATCATCGGAGAAACAAGCACAGAGGGCTTAAAAGTGATATGCTGAGGGTTGCTTGTCTGAGTTTGCCTGCTTTGAAAGAATAATAGTCTTACTGCTGTACTGTAGTTTAAACAGTGTTCTTAGAGCCCTCAGATCAGCTTCCTTGGGAAGATTTGCTAATATGTGTATTCCTGGACCCTTGGTGAGATCTCAAATTGTGCATTTCTGACAGCGTGCTGAGCATTCCTTATGTAGTCTGAAGTCTGAGAGCCACTCTGCTAGCCCATGGTGACCTCATGCTGGTGATGTGAGGAGCCTGGCTAGAGAGTGCCTCTTTGGACGGGCGACTCTTGTCATGCCTGACTTGCAGTGGACACACTGCATTGCTCGTCACGTGGCCTCCTCCTTCACCCACTTACACTGCCTCAAATGACTTACACTGCGCTTAGTGTGCTGCATGGTTTGACAAGTCATTTCCAAAATAGTTGAAATCATCACACTACATAGGAATCACTTTGAAAACCACATGGAAATTTCTAGTGCAAAATTATCTAGTCCTAGGTGTTCATTGGCACATTACACAGATGAAAGCCGCATTTTGCATTCTAACCCCTGCACAAAGTAATAATAATAAAGAAAATAGTAGCTTGTGGAAACGATTACTTTAAAGCACCAATATGTGCTTTATTTTCCTTTCTCACCTCCCTTTCCCACATTCCTCTTGTGACAGATTCCCCACCAGCCTGCCCCAATTGCTACTGACCTTCCTAGAAGTGAGGATATCTCTGGTCCTTCCCAGCTCAAGCTCTCTCACCAAGAACAGTGTCGGGGAACAGACAGCCAGGTTCAGACCTTCATCTCTTCTGCCTTTCTCTTTCTCCATTATTATTTCTTTTTCAATTCTGTGAAATTTTTATTTTTCACTCTTGAACAATATTCCTTCCTCTCTAGGGGATAGTTGGAGCCCTAGTCCTTCCCAGCAGGCAGAGTAAGAGGCTGCAGGGATGAGTGGCAGGCACTGAGGCAGACGCGTGCCCGAGATCTGGGGGGAACGGGACCAACTTGCACTTGGGTTCATATTTTACCCTTCTGTGCTGCCAAAAGAGCATCCATCCGTCTTGTTTTGGTGTTGAGCTCATCCAAATAAAGAAGGCATTTCCTCTCCTGAAAGGCAGAGAGAAAAAAGAAAAGGAAAATTTAATTTTAACCATGCACTCCTGTGAAACTAAATATATACCCCTCCCCCTGTCCTGATTGGTCTGCTTCGATTGACAGGTGGGTCGGGTAGAAAGGAAATATCCTGGACTTAATTGTAAGTTAAGTCTCTCTTAATCCAGAAGAGCATTTGAGATTCTGTCCAAGTGTTCAATTTCCCAGGCCGCTGAGGTCTGTGAATTTCTTTTCCCAGCCTCCAGGCTGCTGCAGTACAAGTCAGCATAGCTAATGCAGATAGATCTCCTGCCTCCCGCTCTCCTCCTCCCTCTGCTTTGATTCGATATGAACAGCCTGGTAACTCCGATGCTGGGGAGAAATCTGACATAACTCTGCAGATGGCTAGGTTGCCGTGAAACACCTGGGGATTGTTCTTTAAGAAAAAGGTAACGTTTATATGCTAATGATTTCTTCCCCTCCCCTCCTTGTTGCTTATTTTTCAGGGCTTCCTGTTCCCAAGAAGAGCCCCAAGTCGGTAAGGACTTGTCAGCTACTTGGTGATTGCTTGGGGGTGGGGGACGCTGGTGGTGGGAGGGGACACTGTCCAGCTTTACTTCACTAGATGTGTTTCAGAATGGCTGGGGAGAGAGGAGCTGGGCTCATTTGATTAAGTTCTGGGGATCTGTTTGGCAGAGGTGTGTTTGGGCTCGTCTTTTAACTGTGTGAGGGTCTGTGGGCAGGCTACAGGAGCCGGGGTGAAGACTGTGTTTTGGCATCTTCGCTACAGATGCATCCTCACAACTCCCCTTCAAAGAGAGCGGTTCCTTAGCGGCTTTAACTTGATACAAATGCTATTGTTTCCTTTGGAAAAAGGGAGGAAGAAAGGGCTCCACCTGCTCCCTGAGTGGCGTTGCTCTCAACTGGTGTTCCCTGCCGGTGCACATGGCTACTCGTCCTCTCCCTGAGCTTTCTTATGCTCTCGGTGATGAATTATTTACTAAACCAAAAGCTTGGTAGGTGTAAGGAAGGATTGCTGTGCTGTGTATCTGTGTCCGTGTTCAGGCGGGCCAGTGCTCACTGCCTCAACACCAGGAATAAGACGTTTCTTTGCTGTGGGAATGCCCTTTGTTGTTTTGCTAGCTTTAGCAGCATTATGCTGCAGGTATAGGATTTTTTAAAAAATCAATGTTTTGCTGTCCTTTCTAATCTGGTTTCCCTGAAGATGCATTACCTCGTTGACATGTTAGCTAATAGCTTAGAGGCTATAGTGTTTTGCTTGGTGGTATGGGCTCTTGCTCCCGGGCACTAACAACAAATTAAAATGCTACTTTAAAACTCAGAATCTGGAACTCATGCCTGTGAAATTGATCTGGGTGGAAGAGGCTCCCTAATTCATTAACCTTAGGATAAAGAAGGGTGCTTCACTGTGGCTTAGGAGGTCTGGGGGAAGGTAGATTTACAGCTTCCTGACATCCAGAAATGAAGGACCTTTAAAACTTTGCAGCTTACAGAGCTGCAGCTGAATTCTTTCCACCTGTCTGCAAGCATGGCAACGAGAAGCAGAAGTTTATTAAGGAGAGAGGGAGCTTCCTGCATTCTGAAGCCTTGCTCCCAAGTTCTCCAAAGAGAAAACCTGCAATATTGATGTGGTTCCAATAGCAGAGCACCATAGTGATTGGAAGGTTGACTTCAGGGCTGCATCCCCTGTCAGCTGGTGTTAATATCCAAGCAGGAAAGTGCTGGTTGGTGCTCACTGGAGCCATGGAGAGGGTGGAGCACGTGCTTGTACACATGTGGCTCTCTGTCTCTCAGTTGTAGAAACCCATTCAGCCTTCAGAAAACTGTAAGTAAATCTGGAAGCTCATGAGTATGAGTTGGTGTGAGCCGTTCTTGTTTCTCCCCACACACACCCACAAGCATGCCGTGCAGGTGCCTGGACTTACTTTACACCCTTCGTGTGGCCTAGAGCCTTGGGAAGGGGCACTCTGAGAGGCACAGCAGTTTTGCACCGCTAGCATGACATCAGGGTGCAAGGTGTTCTTTTCTGCTTTGCATCCTATTTAAATTTACTGTGCAAAAGGATTTTTGTAATGCTAGCACCTCCTCTTCCCCAAAGTGTTTTGGAATTACCTGGTGAACTCAGAGGACGTTAAAGAGGTATAGAGCCTGTATTCATCAAGTCAGTTAAGAGAATTCCCTAGGACAGTTTGCTTTTGTGGAAGCCATGTCATTAGCAAGCAACAAACCAATTACTCAGGCTGCATTCCTAGGAAAAATACTCTCCTAACTGCTTTGCCCACAGTCTGCTGGCTCTTAATTACCACAAGCACGGAGTGGCCTGCTGCTGGGTTCAGAAAGAACAGGCCCCCGGCCTGGGGCTTGTCTTTGCAAGCTGCCTGTGCCAGGACAGAGATGTGGTGCTCATGGCATCGCTGGAGCACTTTGCTGGCTGTGGCCCAGAGTGTGGGGGCTATCAGGCGGGGTCTGTGTGGGCAGCAGTGCGTAGCCAACATCTGTGACAGTGGGAACTCTGGACCGGTGGGGGAAAGCTGTCTCCCTTTCCCAGTTTGCCTGTCGATGATGTCCCGCCAGAGAGACAGATGATTGTATTATTTTTCTGGTGGGAATGGTGGAAATCCATGGGGAAGCTGGATGTCCTGGTACCAGAAACCACTCAGGTAACGACAGATAGGGTCAGCTTCCCCCGTAAAAGCACACAGATTGAGCCTGGATCATGACTCCCTTAGACTTCCCAGCAGTTCCATGAGTACGGAGGCTGACCCTAGGACCATTGGTTTTTGCTTATTTGCTCTTAGAGGCCCCTGACATGGCCGGCTTGGTCATGTGACTGACAGCTTCCTTCTGCTCTCTTACCTTTTTCTCTTTTCAAATGTTTTCAATTAGTTGAGTTTTTATTATACAGAGGGACTTAATCTTTTTATCTTGTTTCCCCTCCAAGATAGTCCTCATAGGTTACTGCTAATATGGAATTTCACCTACTAGATTTAGTTTAAATGTTGAATTTGTGGTTTCTATCCTCACTGGGGACAATGGCAGTGTCTTAATAAAATTTTATTAATTTAATACCTGGATTTTTTATAGCATCAGGGATTTTTCTGCCAAATGAGAGATCAAAATAAGACATATTTGCTGTCAAATTTTAGACCTCTAGAAACTGATTCTGTGGCCCAACTTAATCATCATGCCTGGAAACTTATTTAACTGAAACTCTCAGTCAAAATCTCACAGAAGGATCTTACTTCTGAAATTTGAAACTGTAAATATCACACCAAACCTTAAGTCTCAAGTCATATCCACTTGTGTTTTCCTACTTGTTCATTTTCCGACATTTCCTTGCTTCTTTTCCTCATCTTCTTTTCATCCATCTGTCTCCTTGTTATGTCCATCCATCCGTATGCCCATCTTTCATCCACTTGTCCATCCGTCTCTTCCTTTTATTTCTCAAGCTGGTGTTAAGGACCTAGTAAGTGCCAGGCTTGGTATGAGGCAATGGTCATAGCATCTTTCTTCTTGTAGCTTGTAGTCAAATGATTTACTGATTAATTCCTTGTAACAAAGGATTCGTTGTCAAAGTTTACCAAAATATCTTCTGCCTTCATTCCATCAAGTTATTTCCTGAGTATCTTCTGCCTGCCACACCTAGTGCATCCTTTAGCAGGAACTAAAACAGAAAGGGAGAGAGAGAGTGGCCACGTCCACAGGCAAGTCTTTGTAGACCTCACCTCCCGGAGATTAGTCTGATGTGCATCCATTCCAAATTAATGCACAAATATCATGTAGAACTAACTACACACATTGTGAAAATCACTCAGCTCTTAGTCATGTCATCTAAGTTAAGTAGTCTTACAAAGAAAGCCAAGACTTGAGGTGTTCAGTTCTATGGTTCAGCTGTGGAATTCTTTGGAGTTCCCTGGTAGCCTGGGCAACACAGGAAATCACATTACTTCTCAGCTATTGCCATCCGTTAGAGTGTAGCATACTTAGTACTTAGGAGCTCAGTCTTTAGCTAAGAAAAACTCACTCAAATTTTTCATAGGACATGATGAGCAAGGTGATAGCTTCGATCTCCTTACAGCAACCATAGCAGTTTGTCAGATAGCAGTAGAGATGGGTTCTGTTCCTCTGTCCTCAGTCCCTCTGCCTGCAAGGGGTGCTACAGGAAATTTCTGGAAACCAGTCAGAGATGTGTGGAGGGAAGACGCAGAGACCTCACAGACAACACACACACGGAGTGGCCCTGCACAGGTTGCTCAGATCTGTGCACCCTGCCTGTCTCCCACACCCGCTCCCCTTCACCTTTCCTGGTCCTTCCTTGGAGGCCTGTATCTGACAACCCTCGCAGTAATGGAGCCTATCAAAGTCTCTATGGGCTATGGCAGAAGCAGTGAGGATGGGAGATGGGAGAAGAAACACGGTTACGTCGTGTGGCTGTCCTCCGGCCACTCGCTGCCCACAGCAATCCATGTTCTCCGTGCAGCACCCCCGCAACCCCTCAGAGCAAGGCTTTGCATTAGATTTCCTTAAGCATTCCATGTGAACCAAAATTTATTTCATACCCAACTGATGCTTTCCTTTTCCATTAACTACTTCCACTACTTCTTCAGAGGAAACAGTTTGACTTAGCTCATGCATACTAAAAGAAGCAGACAGAGAGAAGCAGTGCCCTGTGCTTTGACTAGGATCTGAATCTCCAACTTCTGCACACCCTAGCTGACCTTGGCCTAACACCTCATCGATACTTGGAGCTTTTCCTGTTGTACATGTAAATCGTTGCACTGGCCTTGGGTCTTGGCAGATAAGTGAACTGTAAATAGTTTTGCTTTAAAATGGATCAATTTGTCATTTTTAAGCCACATGAATTCTTTTCATCATTTAAGCTCCTATGTGCTGTCTGTATTCATTTGCTCTTCCAAGCAAATATTTTCAGTTTACTTTATAAGTACCTCCATTTCTAAATCATTCTGTGAAATACTGATGAGATGATTTTTCTCCCATTCCCAATTCTTAAAAACCATTGCATCTTCCCAATTTTCCTGTCCTGACAGCAGGTAGTATGAGAATCATTCATTTCAGGGAGGTTGGCACGGGTTTATTTTAAAAAGATCTTGCGATACAAGTTTATGGCCAGTGTATAGCCAAGGACTTTTATGGAGGTTTTAAAATTCAGCCCATTTCCTTCTTCCTAGTTGGCTGTGATTTCAGACTCAGAAATAAAATTCTTACTTCAGAAATACCAGCACAGTTGTGACAGTACTGGTGAGATCTGTGCCAACCTGGGGCCCCTTTCCAACCATTCTCTCCAGTGGAGACTGAGGGGTTCCTTCCCACTCTTTCCCATTCACATCGTGATGACACCTGTTGAATCTCGCACCACAATGTCTTCCCCTCCCTGCTCCTCCCTGTCTTCACCTCCCGTGCTAGCATGAGCCACCTCAGGTCCCTCAGGGAATTCCGGAGCCGCCTCCTGACCGGCCTGTCTGCTTTCACTCTTTTCCCCACCAATACCTTCCTGTCAGGAGCCAAACCAAACTCTAGAAACATACTGGCCCTTGAGTTTTCCCTACATAAGTGTAGGAACGGATCCCCTTCCACTAGGAACAGAGGTCAAGCTCTTTCAGGAGTCTACAAGGCACCTGCCTGCTTGGGCCTCCAAGTTCCTCTCGGGCCAGCCTGTCTCTCTGCTATGTCATATGACCTTTCTGGTCTTCACATAGTCCAAGCTCATTTTTGTTTGGTGGACTTAAAACATGCTGTCTCCCTTACTGCTCTTCCATAGGTGTCTCTTTACCTCTGTCTAACGGACAGTACAGTGTGTTATTACCAACATATTGTTAATAGTTGTTACTGTCCATCTCCACACATCAGATGCACACTGAGGTACCAGTCTCAAGGGCTCAGGTGCTCTTATTTATCCTTTGTATCCCTTAGAACCCAGCGCACAGTGGACGATCAGTATGCGTGTGTGGAGTGAATAAACGTGTTAATGTGTTACAGGTACCCACTGCAGGAGGGTGTAGTCCAGTACTCCCCCTTGATGCACCAGGCTCTTCTCTCTGTTCGTGTTCTTACTGTGTATCGGGCTTCTTTAATAGGCTTGAGAGTTCTTTAACTATAGCTCCCTGTCTTTGGGCCAGTTTTCACCTAGGAAGACGAGGCGATAGGCAACCACATTAGATGCATATCTGATCCCGTGCTATACCTAGTGCAGAGGAGAATTTACTTTCACTCTGCAAGTCTTTGTGGAGGTAACCCAGTAAAGACTTTAATTTGGGAGATACATAAGTGTAACATTTCTCTTTAACAATTCTGGGCTTTGACACATGAAAGACAGTATCATAAATACTTAGCATTTTCACTGGCAATAAAAAGTCGTATTTGTAACTTTTATACATACATACCCCAGAGTATAGCTTCACAAAATCCAGAGTGCCAGCAAGATGTTCAGTACAGTATGTATCTTCAGTTTAGGGGTCTTCATGATTGATTTGGAGAAGGAATATAAAGTGGAACTAAAACTTACCAAGTCAAAAATCTAGAAATCTTTCAGATAACGATGTGGTTAGCCCATGAGCATGCCATTTGTATGTGCCAGTTATAGTGCAGTGCAGCAGTTTTTGCAGGACGTTCTCAGGATGCTCTTTTACTTTTATTTTCCAAATTGAGGGACAAAGTTTAGATGGCATTTAAGAGGTACTCAGAGGTGCAATTTGACTGAGAAATGGTTTTGCAATCTCATTCCAGATTGTGTCTGTCATTTTGTGTTAAATTGGACCTAAATGAGTCATTTACTGGGGAGGTGAGAAAGACTGTTATAATTGGAAGAATGACCCGAGCATTTGCAGTAGACTTCATCTGCACACTTCCTTTGTGGGGAAGCCATCTCCTTAGTTAGACTTGGGATCCAGATCTTCTAGCAGCGATTTGTTACACTGGGATAGATGTCACGCTGCGCGTGCCACATGTGTGGTCTGCATGGAAAAGCATGTAGGCATTTTCTGCAATGGGGACACCCAGCACTTCTTCCAGACCCTCTCAGAGAGGCAGAGTTACCAGAAAGGTATTTCTCCAGGGCAAGGAAACCAGTGAAGTGGATGTCTCATCAGGCAGTGGGCCAGGGCTGCAGAGTGACCCCACGCGAGAAGCAGAAGCGTGGAGCCTTTCCTCAGACCCTCCTGTAGTGTGTGCAGCTCCAGCACAAGGGCAATGACAGATTCGGAATTAGAGACTTCGCGGAATGAATTCAGAGTTGATGGACCTACGGTGCTGTTGGGTATCTGATTTGAGAAAACAAAAGAGGGTAGACATTTGAAGCATCGTGACTGCTAGGGCGGACCCAGCGGTCCATTATTTATTGAATTATTTGCTTTTACATTTAAAATAGCCTACCCTTCCCACAAAAACAAAAACTAAGTTTCTGTTTACTCTCCTTACCAAAGATCACTTCAAAATGAAAATAACTTTTAATTTTCTCATGATTATAAAGCTATTCTCTATGTATTACAAATTTAAAAGACGTGAGCAGTGCAGGAAAGTATAAAGCTCAGAGGGGAAAGCCCACCCGCATCTCGCTGTGTATCGTGTGTGCTCCCACCGACAACAGGCAGGTGCTTCTCGTAGGGACTCGTGGAGACGTTCGTAATGAACTCATTGGAGAGAAAAACAAATCCCTATGCACCTGCAAAAGAGAGTAGTATTGCATCTGTCTTTAACATTCTCTCACCCTGAAAATCTCCAGCGTGTTTCTCAGGGAGGCTAGAGGGCTGGTATGGCCTTCTGGCTAGAGGTCAGACAACTGGTCAGACAGCTAGCCCTGAGAGCTGAATCCACTCTTGGGGAAGACACAGGGATGCTGGCCGAGGCCGTTCTGTTTCAGGTCTTAGGGTTGCTAATTTATCCAGGTCTGAGCAGAGTGCTTTGTCCTCAGAAGAGACCAGGGTGATGTGGTATTGCGACGGTGTTTGTCCCCACCCAGATGAGAGTGTGTTTTCCTGCTGTCCTCGCCAGAATGTATCATCCCCTTCAATCCAAGTGAATTCAGTCTCTCATGTGGTTTTTCTAAGCTTAGAACGAAGTTCTCAAATCTTCCATGGACACAGCAAGTATTTTAAATGTCCTATCTTGGCTTCATTAAATACGTGGCTGGTTTTCTTTATCTTTGAATCTTTGTCAAAACCTGTGGTCAAATCTGTAATAGTCAAAACTAAATGAAGTCTCTGTCCTTTCTGAATTGTCTTCAGACTCTTGTTTCAAGCAAGGACTGAAGGGGAGGAAGTGGAGGAACCTGAGAATTAAATGAAAGACATCATGGAAATTTCTAGCAGAATTACAGGGGAAAGAAAGGTGGGGAAGGCCTAGGGGAGAGAACAGGAAGAACAGTCTGGAGAGGACTGATGGTAGCACCTGGCAGAAGAACTCTGGTGAACTGGAACATTTGGTGTCAGACATCGTGTAAGCTGCTTTAAAGGTGTGAGGCATACAGGGTTTGCGCGAGGGAATGCAAATGCCTGTCCCGCCCGGCATCCCTTCGCTGTGCTCCTGAGCGTGGACGTATAGTGATGGAGAAGGCAGTGATCCAAGATTCTCCCTTTGAATTGGGGAATCTACGCACTTGGATTACCACAGTCTTTCACTGAAAAACTAAAATTATTTTTTCCCCACCCAGGATGTTTCCTTCCAGTTCGTTTTGCTCTTTGTTTATAATACCATTCAAAGAGCATTTCATACAATGGCAAGGGCCTTTGCTGAGCTAGTTTTAATAAACAGTAACTTGCTTATTCTATTAAAATTTAAGTGGAATTCCCCTTTGAACACTACTTGTACTCTGGACAAGTTGCAAGTCTCAGAAGGCGGACCTTCAAAGTTAACCCATATATAAAGTTTGATTTCGGATTTCTACCAATAGTATCAGCAGTTCAGAGGTGGAATATAGTGCTGGAAAAACTGATTAGCTAGGAGTTATAAAAACTCTTCACATGATAGGTATTTATCTGCATGTAAATCCCACTGCACACAACTGTATAAAGATCGGACCTCTTTCTCCTGTGCTCTGACAGACCTTTAGAGAAGAGTTGGTGTTTTATTATTAAAAGGTACAGCATGTGAGCATTTTAGTCCAATTGTATTTTTTCTGGATGTGATAGCCTTATAGCTAAACCACTCACGATATTTTGTGGCATATTTTTTGTCAAGTAATGAGGATGTTAAAACCGATACATCTTGCAGTACACAAGCCTGGTGTCTCAGCCGAGAACCTATGATGAAGATTGGATTTGTTTTCCACTACAACCCCAAGAACAGCATGGCTTGTGATTATGTCTTGCTGTCTGCTCTGCCCCGCATCTGTCTGCCAGTCGTGTGGGGATTTATCTGCATCCAGCGTTAATGGGGAAAGGTGGAAGGCAAATCCTGTTGATACATTTATATGTGTGCATGCAGAAGTGCAGAGCGAGGACACACGGGGGCACCCGCTCAGAGAACCAGAGTAACCTCCTGCTCTTGGCCCTCTCCCTTGCTTCCTTTCAGCAACCACTGGAGAGGAAAGACAGCCAGAACAGTTCTCAGCACAGTGTTTCCAGCCACCGGAGCTTGCACACGGCATCCCCAAGCCACGGTGCGCAGGTGCTCCCTGAGTGCCCGCCCCCAGAGACGCCTGCTGCTGAGCAGACCGACAGCTCTGGGCAGAAAAAACCGGATCCTTTTAAAATCTGGGCCCAGTCCAGGAGCATGTATGAGAACCGACGTGAGTAACCTCTGGCCCCTGCCATCCCCAGACCCTCCTGAGCCTCACTGAAAATGAAAGTGGGTAAAGCACATCAGGATGAGAGCCAGGAGTATCTGCTGGACATTCACAGGGAGTCCAGTGTGTCTTCAGTTTGGGGAGGAGTGAGAAACGCCAGCCGTCGACTATTGGGTGTACAGGGTATGAAAGAGGGAATGGCAGGCCTTTCCTGTCCACCAACCCTTGCATAGAGAGTGATTCATTTTTCTCTTTAGCTAAAAGCAGTGCCAGATCAGAGCTGCTATATTATTAATTCCTCCCTGAGGGGAGATCATGGCACCCTCTGAACTTGTGTCTTGTGAAACAACTCTGATTCAGTAGAGTAAATTTTATTATAGGAGTAATGAAGAAAAATGCTTTCTTACTGATCTCTTGGTTTTAAAAATACTAGTAATTTTTTATACTATTATCAGTCTTTCTAAACATTCTCCTCAAAAAGTTAAAAAAAAAAAAGTGGGTGGTTTGCACTTTGATTATCTATAGGATGGTTAAGTGTGTTCTTTGGTTTTTATCTTTTCTATAAAAAATATAAACGTAGTATACCCTTCATGTTTAGCTCACTTCCTTTTCATATGAAATGACTGCCAAAGACTGCTCACCATAAGTGGCATTCATTTACCTCACCAGTGAAAGCTCCTAAACTGCAATTTTAGGTGGTGCTAACTGGCTCTTGTTCTCGGTGCAGCTTGTTCCAGGGTGTTCTAAGTGTGACTACTCGGGAAGAAGCTCTGGGGTTCCCTTCCCCTACCTTTTTCTTGTTGTCATGGGATGGAAGAGAATGTGTCAGGTGGGGGGACACTGGAGGAAGGGCTGAGATGAACTGTCCCTGCCACCCCTGGGCAAGGGTTTTGATCTAGCTGTGGTCACCCCCAGTCAGGGCCCCCATGGGGGGTCCTCACAGAGCAGTTGGTGAGGATGGGGCGCCCCCGCCTCTTGCCCATCGCTGGGCCATGCTCCTTCGGTGTCTGGAGGGTACAGTGGGAGACCACAACTGCTCTGTGACCCAGTGAGAGGAGGACAGTGAGGGCAGCACAGCTGGCTGGAAGGAAAGTCAACTAAACCGGAGGTGAAAGTCAGCAGTGGGGAGCACAGGAGACCAAAGTTCCTGAGGACCCCACCGTGCTTTTCTCCCAGCAGGAGAAATATCAGCCTCCTGCTCCTTCAGTTAATGCTAAGTATGTTGCGTTGGCCAAAGGCATGCTACCAAAATCCTGCTACTCTGCAAAGGGAGTTATTCAGTCCTGGAAGTATCCTGGAGGCCAAGCAGAAGAGAAGACATTCCCTTTGGGATGTCCCACACATGCAGTTGATGCAAGTACAGGCTGAGTCTCCCTCCCCAAAATGCTGGAGACCAGAGTGTATGGAGTTCAGATTTTCTTCAGATTTTGGAATATTTTCATGTATATAGTGAGCTATCTTGGGAATGGAACCCAATTCTAAACATAAAATGCATTCATGTTTCATATATATCTTGTACACATAGCCTGAAGTAATTTTATACAATAGTTTATATAATTTTCTATATGAAACAAAGTTTTATGGTGTAGAATTGTCTACTTTTGGTGCCATGTCAATACTTAAAAAGTTTCAGATTTTAGAGCGTTTCAGAATTTGAAATTAGATACTTAACTGCTAGAAGCCTGAGATCCATCCTGTGTCTTCTCCCAAACTGTAGTGATTTCACTGAAAAACAAACAAAAAAAAAACTGCAGGAATGTTTTCCAAGGGGGAGTGTTTCACATTCCCTTCACATTTATAGCTGCGTGACTCCTCCAATCAGTGGCCCAAATTCAGGAGATGTTGAGATACTGCTTTATTGACTATGTTGCTGCTTTCCTCGGTGCAGTACATATTTATGATTAGGTTTTCCGTGTACACAGCTTTTGTGATAGAATAAATCAGGCTCTGAAGTGCTGTGGGGCCTCCTGAGCAGGACAGTTCTCATGGCCTGTTCAGTGGGAGGCTCCAGCTCATTCACCTTGGTGGAAGCAACATTTCTTAAAAGTTTAATGTTTTAGTCAACCTGTAAGGAAATTTTCCCACAAAGAAAGAAATGTAATATGGCCATAACCAGCTGCTGTAAACATGGAAATTGCTTAGATAGTAACCACATTGAAATATTTGGAATGGCTTCACTTTTGTTCCTTTACTTCCTTCAACATACAAAAAATCAAATATAGCAACACAAATGAGCCTCAGTCTCTTTTTTGGTGATTGAGGCTCTGTAATTGAGTGACAGCACCCACCTGACTGACACTGAGATTCCCATGGATTTGTTCCTCGGTGCTAAGCAAGAATACTGATGAGCCTCGACCCTTGGTAATTATTCAACTTGGTGACAGATGTTCTTCTCCTCATAGTAGCTAACGGTGAAGCCACATCACTCTTGTCTTTGAATCAGTATTTTGCTTTATCCCAGATCAGTCCTTGCCGTTTCCCTACATTGTTTTGTATCTTCTCAGAACAACAAAAATATAGTGTATGCCCTTGATAAATAGGACTCTCGACCTGTCTCCATCATAAAAAGAACAAAGTTCTCCCAGAAAGACAAGTAAAGTGAAGTCAGCAACAGCACTTTAATTGTACAGTATTATCCCCTTTGGTTAAAAATATATTTTCTTTAGATAGCTAATTTATTGTTAAGGGTAATGTGAAGATAAATGTATTTCTGATCACAATTCTTCACACGGCCTATATGCTTTGCAAAATACCATAATCTTCATAGGAACTTCTGCCAAAACAGCAGTGTCAGAGTGAAGCAACCTGAATTACAGATGTGTTCATGAACCCATTTGAAGGGTCTCGGTGTGTAATTAAAAACAAAGACAAGCACTGATGTCCTTTAAAAGCCTCGTTGGCTATTTCGTATTTTCTCCAGGTAACATACCAATTACATACGTGTCTTTAAAAAATGACATTGAGCCAATCTTGTTAGTAACGTTCAGGAAAGTCAGCTAGTACCCTGTAGAATTTGGTACAAAAGGAATTCTAAAGCTTGTAATTTTACTTGCTCACAGTATATTTTGGAAAGGAAAATGCTCAAAGCTGTCACGCTAACCAACACTGCAAGCCTGTCCCGCTTTAGAGAGTCATGCTCACCGGTTTGGGATAGAGACGGAGCTCCTCCATTGTAGTACGTAGAGGGAGTCTGAGTGAACTTCTAGATTTTAATAACTATGATGACAATTCTTATCTGTGTGTTTGTTCAGATCTGGGGGACAGATTCAATAATTTATGCCTCTAAATATAAGAGAGACTATTCTGGTTTGAACTGCCTAGAATTCACCTGGACAAGTAGTACAAGAATCAATTCCATCAAGAACTTGATAGTCCCTTAATAAACGCTATAGTATAGCAGTGGGACAGACATACTAAAATCTTTCTAGAAAAGCAATAAGGGTTTAGACAAATCTACAGTTCATGACATGATTGAAACAAGGTCATTGAGAATACAGTCTAATTAAATATGAAGAGCTTGAGATGGTAATGGGAGTTGTAGGAAATTCTTGGTACAGTTATAAATTCTAACTTTTTGACAAGTAAAGCATCATGGGGGAAAAAAAAAAAGGAAGCAAAAATGGAATCAAACTAAGGCTTAAAATCCATAGCAGCTGTGGCCTTTATTGTGAAAGCTGAATGACGCATTATCTTATCAACCACAACTAAATTAGATTGAACTAAGGGAAACAACATATGTGAAGGTTTGCAAAATTGTGAAATTAATATTCCAGCTATGTCACCTTCGCCTGCACCAGGATTGAGCAAGGGTGAAAGAGAGCGAGAAGTCAGTTCCACAAATTTTGGAGAATGTCAGAGTAAGACCCTGGTGCAAACCCGTATTTCTCCTCTTTCATTCATCCTGTTTGATGTTCCATGCGTCTGGGGGCCCGGGGAGGAGTCAGGGAGGGAACAGAAGTCGCCGTGAAGGGAAGCATGTCAGTTGGCCAAGCGAAACCCAAAGCCAGCATGAGATGAGAAGCATGTCCTCCTCAAGCCTGCAGTGCCGCGTGTGTCTGTAGCGGTAGAGACACCCACTGTTTCCCACCATCAAAGGAAGTCTTTTGACTACTGTATTGAGTTGTTACTGGCATTACCAAGAGGAGATTTGCTGGTAACACGCTTTCCTATTAGGGGACTTAAAAGTGAAGACAACCTGACACGACTTTCTTTGCTCTCTTAGGTTAGCCTCACTCCAGAAATAAAGTGATGCTAATATCAGAAAAACAGCCTAAGCCACTGCTTCCAAACAACGTCATTCTAATCAGATCTGCTTAAATTAGGGAACAAACCATTTAAAGAATGACATCAGAGGAGAGAAACTTCACGGCCCTTAATATATTTCAGTACTGACAGATCACCAAAGGTGCATACCTGAGTAAACACCATTTAGTTGGTGACAGAGTGAAACATTTAAACTTTCAAAATTAAAGTACCAAAAGACTTCTTTTGTATCCTGCATGTGTGTCAGTGTTTGCCTCTGTGTTTTCCAGTTCATTCCTGGTATCGTTAACATCCAGAGTGTCACTGGGCATCTTTCTTCTCAACAGAAAAGTCTTGAGATAAATTCCCCATCTTCCCACTGATTCTCAAAAGAAAACAAATGCTTTTTTCCCGTGGACCAAACTGTGTGATAAGCATAAGTCTCCTGGCCATAAGCTCCCACACCATGATAGCTGACACCCCCTTCCCCTGTGGTGTCCCCGTGGTGTGAGCACCTGCCCCTGTGTTCAGTGAAGTTGGGCTGGAGGTCTCTGCAGAGTGCCTTCCTGCTCACAGAAGACCTCGTCGTCCTGGCAGACTTCAACGGACTCTGCCAGCAGCTTAGTGCTGGCTGGAAAGCAGCAGTGCTCTATTAGGGTAATAATCCTCCTGTTTGCATGAAGCGAAGATGAGACACCACTTGATTTAATTTGTTGTCTCAGTGAGGCTATTACAGCAAATACCTTTTACCCAGCTACTCAAACAGGAAAATATGGTTACCTTAGTGTGCTGAAAAAGGTACGACTCTCCAGTTGTTTTTACGGGAGTCCGGTGATGTGACGGAGTCCGTGTTCCGTGGTATTTTGCTGCTTAGCCCCAGCAATTACAATAAAAAGGACTGAAAAGCACACGTTTAAAGCCGTAACACTGAGGTAGCTCAAGCCTGTATATACATACATCTCAGATCCAAAGTCCTCTGACTGGCACTCACCTATTTGTCCTGTCATTCTGTTTCCTTTCCCTTAGTGCACTCACTCACCATGCGGCCTAAGCTGTGGGTGAGTCACTAAAAATGACCAACTCTCACCAGTGTGAAATCTAAACAGCCACCTTCTTCGCTAGCCCATGGTAGAAAACTGGAGAAGACAAGAATTAAATTTGCTGGCCTACACACTCCTGTAGCCCAAAGTCCAATTAAACACACCAGAAATTATGCAGAACAGTGTTTTAAAATCTTCTCTACAATTCACTGCAACTAAAATGGTATGTGTTCTCCCTAAGTAGAAGCTATGACACTTTGTAGGCTATAAACCATCCGTTGTATACATGAAAATATTAAATAAGCATTAAAATAACCCTTTTTATTACCTTAGAGAAGTAACAAAGTGGTATGTAGATTTTGTGTACAGTAAGAATTTTCTTCTAGAAATTTCTTTTTAAAAATGAGATTTTTCAGTTTAAAGAGCTGAACAGTTACTGAATATTAAACATAAAATGACAAATTAATACTAAAAATGAATGCTTATAATGTTGAAATATCATAGGCAGAATCTGTAGTAAAGCAGTCATCTTAGTAATGAGGTGCGATTCATTAATATAGAACTTTTGTCATCACTATTAATCTTACAAATATGAAAACTGGCTACTTCTTTGTATTTGGAAACAGCAGGATTTTTTTCTTTTTTCTGCTGTGTTGAGAATTGAACCCAGGCCCTTCTCCATGCTAGCCCGGCATTCTGCCCCTGAGCTGCGTCCCGGCCCTTGCAAGTGAATTTTTTTTTTTTTTACAAAAGTAATCTAACAAATCAAGTTACTAGTGTGATTATTAGGAAGGAAGAAAGGGGATTTAGAAATAAATTAGAAGCCTTTTAATCCAAGCCATTTCCTTCTCTCCTCTAGTTGATAAAGCATCACTTTAATTTAGCTCCCTCTCCTTGCAGCAGTACTGAGAAAGCAGACACAATGGCATGGCCTTGTTTAGCAACTGTCAAACAGTGGCAGTCCTTTGAAGAACTGTGGGCTCAGTAACTGTCCCACTGTTTACTTGGACCCAGTGTCATCTGTCATTCACTCATCCCCATCCCTTCCTTTGCCCTTGCTGGAAAGCTTTCATCTGCTCAAACGTCAGCAGTCTTGGTCCTGTAATCGTGTTCATCGTAGCGGCATGATTCCTTGTATCAGTGAAGTAATACATTCCTTCTCCTTTTCCACAGTTCCAGATTACCAGGAACAGGACATCTTCCTCTGGAGAAAAGAGACAGGATTTGGATTTAGAATTCTAGGTGGAAATGAGCCGGGGGAACCCGTGAGTGTTTGCTTCTCTTTGGAGTGCTGTCTGTTAGGACTTCAAAGAAAATTGGCGGGAGTGACAGGTCACCAGGATTGGAGCACCACTAAGATCCAGCACTGGCTCTTTATCCTGAGTAGTGTGAACTTGCTGGGCTTTGTGGCGGGTGGGGAGGGTGGGGGGGCTCCTTCTGTCCCCCAGAAGGAGGGACAAGATTCTTTCTAAAGTGTGTGTTAATGTTGATGGAACACAGCAGCTGTGGCATCTGGAGGCCAGCACCAAGGAAAAGGGAAACAGAAGGCAGAATGGGGAACAGTGAGAAAGGTCTCAGTCTGACCCCACCGGCTCTGCCGGACGTGTGCACGGGCAGTGGGCTCGGCGTGTCGGGCAGCCGTGGCACGGACTGCCTCACTGGGCCCATGGGAGAGGAGATCCGCAGGATCTGCTCTTACGGAAGTAGGGGACGAACTTGCACAGCGGTCGAGGGACATGCACCCTCCCTGGGCCTCAGTTTCCTGAGCTTTAGCATAAATTCAGCATAACGTGGCAGGGTTCCATTGAAAGGAGCAGAAAGAACTAAAGGTGAGGGTTGCTGATTCCTCTGTGATATAGATAGCTGTTACTCATTGGCATTGACCACTGAGTGTGTGCCCGGCATTGTGCTAAAGACTTTTAACAGACATCCTGTCATTTATCAAATCTATGAATTGGCACCATTTTTAATTCAGAAAGACACAAAGAGGATAATTAACCTGCCCAAGATTACAGAGCCTAGTAAGAGGAAGGACTGCTAGCCCAATTCCAGGTGCCTGTCATTAGCCGGTTTTCCCCAAGTTTCTTGTGAATGCTAAGTATTTCATTGTAGCATTATTATTTACTGAGAAGGCAAGGCAACACAAATATTTTAGGTCAAGTTTAGTGACTGGGAAGTATAGCAGCAAATCACTATAAAAATTCTGCTTTCAGGTGTGAAAAGACTGCAGAAATAGGGGTGTCACGCTAGATTTTGCTTAATTAATTCATCTAACAATATTTAGTGGGCCTGCCCTATTGCTAGGCATACTGCTGGACCCTTAAAGAAAAGTAATGTTACTATTATACTCAGCAGAGTTTTATGAAAGGAGGGTTCTTAGGTAAAGATGAAAGAAGAAACGCTTTTATAAATGAGGGAATAAAGTGATCTGTGTCTACAAGGGGGAAAAGAAAGAGAGTCATTACTAGAACACAGATAGACATCAAGGAGCCCAGCAAGACACACTACTGTTTTAAAAATGGTCACAGCACCTAGTGCGATGCTTTGTACACAGTGGGTGCTTACTAAATGTCTGTGGCATGCATGCACACTGGGATGAATGAATGAAGTATTCTGGGAGGTGTGATTGGTGCAAGAGTAATCCAAAAGAGCAGGTGTCATGTGTCACCCAATTACGCCACAGATTTATATTGGTCACATCGTACCGCTGGGCGCTGCAGACACGGATGGCCGCCTGCGGTCCGGCGACGAGCTGATCTGTGTGGATGGGACTCCGGTAATTGGAAAATCACACCAGCTCGTGGTCCAGCTCATGCAGCAAGCGGCCAAGCAAGGCCATGTCAACCTCACAGTGCGGCGTAAAGTGGTGTTCGCTGGTATGTTCTCATTCATTGCCCAGACAGCGCGCTGTCACTTTCGGATCTGCCTCCTCAAGCTTCTCCTTTAGCAAATGTTTGCAAATGTGATCGAGCTAGAATTTCCAGATGGTTTGCTTCTCTCCAACCCTGTAAAACTGCTGCCATTCAAAAGTACCTTAATGTGCAATTTGCATATGTTCAGCAAAGGCTTCTAGAAGGCTATGGAATATATATTACCTACCTCCCATCCAACCAGAACTCAGCCACCCTCTTATGTTATGATAATTCTCAACAAAAGAGGTCATTACAGACATCTGAAAAGTGGTAGCTTCAAAGTAAGTGAAAAAAATGAGTTTGCCCTGTGGAAAAAAACCCATAAAAAAGTTGTGTTGTGCCTGCTGTTCAAGTTCTGTGTCTGAAAGCCAGGCTTTTCTCTTTACCCTGACAAGAAAGCTAGGGAGCCGTCTCCCGTTCCTTCCTACCGTCCGCGAACTTCCAGCCTAGTTCTCAAGACGCCACGTACCCTTTCAGGCGAGGCTCATGAAGGACCTTCCTCCCTCCAGAATCCTCTCCTTCCATCAGCTCCCTTCGGTTTTAACGTTTCATGCCGTTCTTGGGGCTCATGATTTCCTTCTGTATCAGAGTCCACCGTTTGAGAGAACTAACTGACTTTTCCACTGACTTATCAGCTTCCTAAAAGCATGTCACTTAACTGCAAATTTGTATGCAGTCCCCACCTCAGAGTCTGTAGGATGGAACATACCAATTGAAGTACTGAAGGAACAGGGCATGAAATATTATGAACTCTCCATAATAGTAACATTAGTGTGATGAATACCTATCAGGTATAATTAATTGGTAACTTATTAAAAATAACTAGTATAAGCCTATTTAAGTGATATAATTCGTTACAGAATTAACATATTAAATAGCGGTGTGAGCGCCCTACCTACTGCAGCCATGGAACACAGCACCAGTCAACCATACCTTGTGTCCCTAGAGTTCGCTGATAGCCTGAAAATCCCTCCACGTAACATTTCTGCAGCCAGTGGCAGTAAAGCTAGAACAGGATTTTGAGATGAGTTGAAAATTATTTGACTTCCAGGACCCAAATAAAAACAGTAAGGCAATGTGATTTCTTGTTTTAAGCTCGTTTTTAAAATCTTAAAGCCTTTGAATTTTTGGCTCAATGCAAAGGGCGTGCTAAATAAATCTAAGAGACGCGTACTACGCTAAGTGAAGTAAGCCAAAGGCAGGCTCCTGCAGGAAGCCCCTCTCCAGGTACCTGCAGTAGTCAGGTTCACAGAGACAAGCAGGGCCCTGGTGGTGCCGGCCGTGGAGGAGGAAGTGGGAGCAGGTGCTGGGTGGGGCAGCGTTCCAGCTGGGAAGAGGCAGAGCTCTGGACACGAGTGGTGATGGTGGGTGCACAGCAGTGGATGTCCTTGCGCCACCGAACTATGCAGGCAAAAGTGTTCACGATGGTAAAGCGTATGTTATTCGTATTTTCCCACAGTAGAAGGAAATCTCAAAAGGAGCAGCTTTGGGAAGTAAATACAGTGTTATTCACATAACACACATTTTGATTTTGGCGTGGTTGGTTCCGCCTCCTCCGTTGGCCGTTGGGTACATTATGAAGTGCAGCGGCAAAGCAGTAAGCCTGGAGTGGTGACTAGATTGCAGGGAGGCCGCGCCTGTAGTTCTGTGCCCAGAGCAGACGCGGACCTCTGACGGCGGGAGAGGAGCGGCTGGCTCCTCCGCCAGGTGTGCCATGAGCTTCGCGTGTAGAAAGGCGAAGGTGCAGAGCTGCGGCACCTGCGCAGAGGGCTGGCCCCGCACACGTGTGGCTGGGCCGCGCCGTGAAGCCAAGGCCGCGGCCGTCACCAGCGCAGCCTACGTCTGTGCTCGGTAGAAATTCCCTTCTGTACGGCGGGGAGCTGTGCCCGCGCGGGCTGCTGTTGCGGCAGCCTGCACCCGAGCGTCGCTGTGGGCAGCGGGTCCCCCTGTAAGTGGTGCCCCCTTGGGTGCCCTCTCTGGTGTGTGCCCGGGACCGGCATTCCCAGACAGTGGACTCTGAGCTGTCAGGGGGAGCAGGTGAGGCTCCCAGCTGTAAGCCCAGCGCCCGGGGAGGCCGAGGCAGGAGCAGCACGAGCTCGCGCCGGCCCCGGGCGCAGCCTCCCCAGCCGCCTCTGTTGCAGCGCCCAAGCCCGCGGAGCCCGAGGTGCCGTCGCCCGCGTCCTCGCACCACAGCGGCACGCAGCCGGCCTCGCTGGCCGAGGGCAAGCGCACGCCGCAGGGCAGCCAGAACTCGCTGAGCACCGTGAGCTCGGGCAGCGGCAGCACGAGCGGCATCGGCAGCGGCGGCGGCGGCGGCAGCGGCGTGGTGAGCGCCGCCCTGCAGCCCTACGACGTGGACATCCGGCGTGGCGACAGCGAGGGCTTCGGCTTCGTCATCGTGTCCTCGGTGAGCAGGCCCGAGGCGGGCGCGGCCTTCGGTGAGTGCGGAGAGCGGGCCGCGGGGGCTCCGCGGGGCGGCGGCCTTTCCCTGACGGCTCCTCCCGAGGGGGCGCGCGTGGCTGCAGGCGTGCAGCAGCCTGCGTGAAGATGGACCGGCAACCCCCGACATGAAGCATCCGAGCTTGCTGCACCAGAGGGGTTTTGGAAAGGGCCCGAGGAATGGTCGTAGGAGTTTCCAGACAGAGCAGAGGTGTGAGGAACGCAGTGTGACTCGGGCTCCTTTGCCCGCCTTGTCTGTGTCCTCTCTCTTACCCCAGCAAACGTTTTTAAATTTTTAAAGATTATTTTTACTGTGGCCCAAGAATTGTTTGAAATCGGAGTTCACGGTCAGTTGATCTGAGGACTCATCCGGATGTAGAGGTTTCAGCAAATACGGAGAAACACAGTCGCCGCCCTCTTCGAAATTCACCCAGCTGGGCGCACAGGCACAGAGAAATAATCCAGGTGGCTCAGAACGCTCACCTGTCCCTCTTTCTCATTACAGTGAGGTGTACCGTGCACTCCAAGTTACCCAGCTTCCTGGTTAGGTTTCTCTAAAGGTCCTTGGTCGTCTCCCAAGCACATTTAACTGCTGTGCGATGTGATGCAAGAGGGAAAGGGCTCTTGCAGGCTTTGACAGTGACCCCACATGGCTTGCCCACAGCATCTCATGAGCAGTGGCGTTGGTCGCTCGCTGGCTAAAATCGCTCGCTGCTGCGTCCCTGTAGAGTTCTGATACAGCAGAGCTCATTTGCCTCCTCTAACCTTGGTGAGTTGCTTCCTGCGAAGGCTGTGCCTCCACCCCGTCCTGTGTTTGGAAGGGGACGCTCGGCCAGGGTTACGCATGTGTGGCTGCAGCAATGAATGCCCAAGACTAACAGTGCTTCCGTGAACTACTCTAAATTTATTAAAGTTAGCACAGCATGGCATGACCAGGCAAGAGCTTTTGTTTTGTTTTTAAATTAACTTTAGAAACTTCTGCTTACTTAAAAAGGCAGTGGATGGGACAAGAAATCCCAGATTTTTTCTTTAAATCTAGAATGTAACTGTCCCTATGCCATGTGATGTTCTTAGTACTTGGGAATTCTCCCTCTCAGTCTTTAGGAAGAAGGAGCAGGTATGTCGGGTGCGAAGCTATGTGCTCATGATGAATATGGAACGTTTCCCTCACAGTTTGGTCCTTGATTGTTTTCTTTTGGTTTTTACAATCAACAAATCAAACTTCCGCTAACAGCTTGCACGAGACTTCAGAGCTGTCCTCACACCGGCTGTTTCATCCCTTCCTCGTGCCAGTTGTGCTGGGGATGAGCTAAGCTTAGTCAGGAACTTGAATGCACGTGGGTGTGGCCCACTGCACCTACTTGTTGGGTCCTCTGCACAGTTTTTCCTTTTTGAGGTTCTTTGACTTGACATTGCACCCAGTGCCACAAACTCGGGCAAACCCGCCAGAATTCAAAGGAATTCCAGTGCCTTTTCCTACACAGTACCCTTCAGGGCTCAGTTATAATGGAAGAGTCTACTCACTTAGTTCCGTCGTCTCCCACGTTAACTTCATCAACCTCTGCAAAGGTCCTCAACTGCATAACTCCTTGTAGTTCCCTGAAAGTCCTCAGTCGATGCATGTCTGTAAGGAACATGGAAACAGTCACCTAGCAATCCCATGTCAGGGCTGAGAGAGCAGAGACCCTGCAAGGAAAACTGCGTGTCCAGGTTAGATGCTTTCTGGGCTCCTCTCTTACAGTTATACCCTTTTTCTAAGTGATTTATAATTTTTACATAGAAGGCATAGAGTGTTGGTTCATTAGATGATTTCAGATCGATGTTCTGCTGCCCGCAGGGCCTTAGGTCTTACCAGAAATAGTGATTGTTTTTCTCAATTGAGAAGGAACAAAACATTAGTAGAAGCTCAAACAACAGCGGGCAAAATGAAGTGACATGAACACAGAGTGAGTAAAACATCCATCCCGCTCTGCGTTTGACATTTACAGCCCTCAAATAAGCCAAGAACAAGTTGTTTTGGGGCTCGTAAGACTGTTTGAAGTTGCCAGATATTCCACCTTTTATAACTGTTTCAAGGAGGGAAGCTGGGTTTACCCCTCGTTTTGAGTGAGAAAAGCACCACAGCCCTGAGTTCCAGTCTCAGGGAAGTGGCTTAGAACCTGAAGATTGCCGATGTTTTGACAGTGAGCACAGAGCTCTCCTTTAATAACATTTGCTTAATGCTTTAATTAATTAACACTTAACCTTCTCTTTCCCTTCTCAACCCTTTTTCTCCTCCCTTCACCATATTCCTCCGTAACTTTTAAAAAATTAAAACTCAATATCAAAGCAGGCAATGCATGTGTGGCTATGCCTCACAAAATAGGTCGGATTATTGAGGGGAGCCCTGCAGACCGCTGTGGCAAGCTGAAAGTAGGAGACCGGATCTTGGCAGTAAATGGATGTTCCATCACCAACAAGTCCCATTCAGACATCGTCAACCTAATCAAGGAAGCAGGAAACACAGTTACGCTGCGCATCATTCCCGGGGATGGTAACGTATACCTGTTTTCTCTTTGTCTCTCCCACTCGCGCTTTCTCTCCTCCTCCTTTGTTAGTGTAATAATGTAAGTGATTAATGTTGACATAAAGACACCTTTATCATTCCTAACTGAGCAGGTGTGTCAGGCCAACATCAGCCGCTGTTACTAAGCCATCCTCACCCTCTTACCTGATGCATCCTGTAGCCCTGACCCTGTCTTGCTGCAGATACGAAAATACCAGAAAATCTTCAGCTTTCCCAGTTTTGTTTGTTTTTGTTTTTTGTGTGTGTCTTTGTGTTCTAAACTGTAAAATAGTTTTGATATAGGTCATAAAGATCCCTGATGTCCTAGCTGAAAATCATTAGTGATTTTTTTCAATAGTTGCTGTCATTATAATATGTTGATATCACAAACCTACCTACTGAGGGTAGCCCATGCTATGGTTTTTTTTTGTGTTGTTTTGTTTTTCAAAATAAGTGAGTTTATCCAAATTATTATTTCATGAGAAAGTTTTGGGGTTTGTGCCTACCTGATTTGTTCCTAATTTTTAGATGTGGATGAAGAAAGATTAAATGTCCAAATTTCTGATAGATTATCCTACATTAAACTAGGCCTATTCTTATTTGCATTTTCTTGGCTGGTTAAATTCAGGTCTTTGGTTCTTTGACAGCAGGGCAGTTCTGCCCTCAGGACACTTGGCAGTGTCTGCCAGGGGTGCTGAGGAGCATGGAGTGGGTGGAGGCCGGTAATGCTCCCACGCACCCTACATGACACAGAACAGCCCCCCACAATAAAGTTTTCTACTGCTAAATTTCAACATGCATTTTAGTGTTCAAATTTTGCAAACTTGAAGTTCATATACCAATATAAATTGTTCAGAGATTTAAATTCCAAAAACTGATTTCATTGTAAGTTACCTTTGCCCCGTGGGAGGTATGTTAGCTTTCCATCATTGTGACAAAATCCCTGAGGAAAACAGAAGGTGTGCTTTGGCTCCCAGTGTCAGAGGTCTCAGGCCGTGGTCAGGTGACTCCATTGTGCACCACACCTGGCTCCCTCTCTGCCATTTATATATTGAGAGACAAGTGGAAGGTAAGGCGAGGGCAACCTTTTGTCCTTGGAGACATGTGCAAGGGATAGTAAATACAGAATGGCAGCAAAGGGTATGTAGGATAGCTGAACATGCTTCCTCTGAATTTGAACTTTGATAAGTCAGACCAGACTTGGGCTCTGTCAGGGTCCTTGCATTCTAGGTGGAGTAAGGCTTTTATCAGACAGAGCAGAACTGGACTGAGCTAGGCTACCTTGGAATTAGGTTCAAGATAGTGAAAGTATTTATGGGCTTCAAATACACATTACTTGAATTGTGGTTTTAAATTTGACCTTCCGTCCACTCTGAATCGAAGTATTTGCTGCTATGGGAGGTAGAACTTGGCAACAAGATTCCATTTTTTCTTGGCAAAGGCATCTCCCCACATTCTTCACACATTTATGGGTTTCACATTTTCCAATGTTGCCTTCAGATATGTACTACATGTATGTTCACATGTTAAAATACTTATGAAAAAAATGATTGTGTCCTTTGTTGATGTGTTTGGCTTTTCAGTGTGGACTCCATAAATGAGGGTAGAACTGGGACCCCAAAGCCCAGGGTGGAAGAAACTGTCAGACGAGCACGTGCCCTGACTCAGCACAGCCCCATGACAGTGCCTTGAGAGCCAAGATTTACTTTTCTTGGTACATGATTACTAGGGAATGTGTACATTTCCATTCCTCTGGGAGAGCTATGTAGATGTAAACATTGTTTCATAAAAGATGTGGAGTGCTTTCTGGAATTTGTGTAAAAGTGTTCAATCTGTCCATCTGCCTTAGAGTTCAAAAAGTCAAGTATGTTGATGCCCTTTATGATATTGCTGCTGGAATGGAGGGAGACTCAGACGCATTTCGGGCCCTTCTTTTACACTGTATTTTTTTCTGTTATTCAGGGCAAGTTTTGCCTTTGGGATGGAACTATAAATTTTGTAATGATGGGCTTCATCTCTATATTTGTTAAAAAAGCATTTAAAGCGGATACAATCTTGGTTCAATGCCAGATGAAGACTTAAAAGTTTATGAAAATAAGTATAACTTTATTGACATTATAAAAGCATGCTGGACATCAAGGCATGCTAAACATTATCTTGGTTCTCTGAAAGTGGTCTGTGAAATCCTATAGTCAGTCTGAGTATTTTGTATTTTAATTAATCTTTGATAATGCTTAGTAAAGTTGGTGGTATTTAGCAGTAAAAGACAAACAGGGCTTACTTGAAAGGAGTGTGCCAACTAGGTACGATTTGTTTGATACCAGCACAGGATGCCCATTATGTAAAGGGAGCTAAAACCCTGTCGGTAGGTGCTCAGCTGAAGTCCTTTTACCAGCACGTGCTTCTGGGATGGCCTTGGACAAGTTACCTGCCTCTTGTTCGCCTCAGTCTCTGCCTACACTGGAGCAGAAATTGCACCTGTTTGTTGAGTGGGGAGAATCAGCTGGAGCAGTGTGTGTGGTGATGCTGTGCGGCTCACTGGAGATGATCGGTAGATGGTAGCTGTTTGTAGACTCAGAAAACAACATCATGAGGAAAAGTCAGAGCTCAAATAGATGTTTGCATATAAAATACTAATTTTTTAGAATGCTTAAAGTTAAGCTTCAATCCCAAATAGATTTACATGTACATATTATTGGAAAAAATAGCAAATGAAAGATAGGAAATTAATAAAGGCATTCTGTTTATGTAGGTATTGAGTGATTATCTGTTATATTTTATCAAATAATGAAAGCAGCACAGATATAAAAATTGTTTGAGAACAGGATTTGATCTGCTTAGAAAATTCCAGCTACAAAAACACACAAGAACTCTAAAAAGAAACCTTTACACAATCCAGTAACTATAATCACTTTAATTACAAGGAAACATTCTTCTTGGTACCCTGACTGTGATTTCCCCACGGTCCCAGCAATCTTGTAATTTCCCAGAGAGTCTCCGTAAAATTAATTACAATGAGTAGTATGAAGTTTGTTAAAGGACCGGTGCACGTGTTTATGAACGTTCTGGCAAGTCACAGCCACGGGCTGTGCTGTCATCTGTCCTGGATGGTGAATAATGTGCTTTTCATATGATAATAGATATCAAAAGAATGCTAATTACTTTTTAGAATTATTAATTCCCAGGTGCTGTCTGACTTCCTTCTTGGATAGTCCTTGTACCAATTCCTTAGATTCTTTTGTCATTCTGCTTATGCAGATTAGGGAACTGAGGCACCAGAAATTAAGTAACTTTGCATAAGTTCTGCCTGTCCAGTACGTTGCAGAGCTGAGGATGGAAAGCAGAATGATTCAGACCACAGTCTCACCTTGAAACCACTGGTTTAAGCCACCTTGCAGTTAGCTTGAGAAGCAGCACCTCCCCAAATAAGTGGGTCACAAGGCACCTGGGTCCAGGAAATTCTCCGCGAATTCTACAGGAACAACAAAACAGACACGCGTGGGAACCCTTCCCTTTGTCATCTACAGCTTTTCAATCTTAAATAACCGTAGATACTTTTCCTTCAGAATTTATAGAAATATTTAGTAACATATTGTGGGGAACATTGTCCTAAAACATGAATAGAATTCATGTAGCAATTCTCTTGATCTAGCTTGTCAATCCTGTGCCTTGGCTATAGGGAAAATGGGCTTTTATCCCTTCAGTAGAAATTGTTAAAATTCTATTTAAATTTTTCATTGCATAGAGATCTTAAAGTTAAGTTTCCTTAGTAATAAACCAAAAAGCCTCAGTGGCAGCAAGGCCCGTACCTGCAGTAAATATGCACGGAGTGCTTACTGCATTTCCAGCACCATACTAAAGACTTCCTGTCTTTTAATCCATGACAAGGGAATTGTCATCATGCTCTTTTATGATAGGAGAATAAATAAGGCACCTAGCTAATGAGTAGGAGAGAGAAGGATTTGAATCCAGGCTTATATCTCAAAGCTATGTATGTAATGAAGATAAATTAACAGAAAGCCTGACTCAAGTTGAGTTAACATCCTTAAGAAATTACAATGGAAGGCAGACCACAGACAGTCAGGGTCTGTGGGATATCTCTTGTTCTAGGACTGCAATGGAGAGAAAGATATTCTAGGTTTCCCACTTTGAAGTACTTAAAATGTTTTCTCACAGAAAACTTGTTTTGTTGGGGGGATGGGTAGATATTTGTATTCAACAAACGTTAAACTGTTACTATGAATCATAGGAAATTTGTAGACTTCCGGGTAGGTGCCCTGTGAAGTAAAGGAGCACTTGTACCCTAGCACTGCAGTTAGCATTTTGTTGATTAGAAAATGTACACCAAGTTCCAAAGAGTCAATTTCAATATTAGAAGTGGAACTTGTTTATAGCTGGTTGGTACCTGCCTTGATCTTAATGGAGAAATAATTAGCAAATGAGTATCTAACCATCACTGCGTGAATTATGTTTTAATACATGAACGTGGGTGTGCCGTCTAGTTATACATCTGAGTATTTTCACATTCCATATCTCCAGACTTAGAGAGTAATGAAGGTGCTGATGAATGTGATTAGTGAAGAAGAAAGTCCATTTACATAGGAATATGATCATATGCATTACATTAAGGTGGCTTTGTCATTTATATAACTTACATTTACAAACTCTTGTTTTTCTAATGCACATTTTAAAATTAATCCTTCATGAATGATACTATATGAGATCTGTCAAGAGTTCCATATTTTCACTTGTGCTTCATTAAAAGCGGGGGAGAAGAAAGTGGGTGATACTTGTGTATCTTTAACAAGATGTTAGCACACTTCTGACCTTAATACGATATTCGCATGAGGAGATTAAGCCAACTCACTAAATGCTGCTGACAAATTACGGAGAGGTTAATGGAGACGTTTACTATCAGCCTGTAAAGTTGTGGAGTGTGACTCCTGTGTGGTGTCCTGTGACAGTGGGGTGCCATCTGCCCTCGCACCCATGCTGGCTGCCATTCTAGAGCAGCACAGTCTTTGGCAAACTGTTCCCTTTGGGGAAGTGTCTAGTTGGGAGGAGGTCATGGGCAGGCATAGACTGCATCAGCAAAGATAGAGTGGTTCGGCATTCTTTTTTAGATCTAGGGCTTCTGCACACCTCCCAGCTGGAGAGCATCTCCTCTAAGGCCTTCATTACTTTATGTTCCATCCTGCAGAGTCCTCGAATGCTACCTTGCTGACCAATGCAGAGAAGATTGCCACTATCACCACTACCCACGCTCCTTCTCAGCAGGGGTCCCAGGAGACCAGGTCAGGGTGGCTTTGGCTTCTTTGTAAGGTGAAGGGGGAAAAGTGACTCTGAACATGATCGTACACCTCTGTGATTCTTTCCCAGTACCCCTTTGGGTTGCTGTTACATATTTTTCTCTCTTCTTTGGCAGGAATACCACCAAACCAAAGCCAGAATCTCAGTTTGAGTTCAAAGCACCCCAGGTCACACAGGTGAGGGCCATTTCTCCTCTTCTGTTTTCTTTTTTCTGTGTACTTTGTTCATTTCCTTCCAATTTTCTGAGGCTAGTACAAGATAGATTTTAAAAGACATCCTTAACTTAAAATAATCTTTTGTGCAATGATACCAGATGTATATTCACATTTAACTGTCTAGGAAATGACATTTCATTTTACTGCCTTTGAAAACTATTCCTAGATTATCCTTCCTAGGGTAAAAACAAAATGAAATGCTGTCACAAGGAGAAAAAGCTAATCAGATAATATCTACTTATAGTTTTCAAGAAAGTATTCCCGCTGGGTGTGGTGGCACATGTTTGTAATCCCAGCCCTCAGGAAGCTGAGGCAGGAGGATCACATAGGGAGTTCCAGGCCAGTGTGAAACCCAGTCTCAAAAAAAACCAAATAAAACCCAAAATGCGTTTCTGCCAAGAAAATATCTCTTTTGATAAGTCGTTTCTCAGCCTTGTGAATTTCAGGTGAGACACAGAGAACAAGATACCTGTCCCTCGCTATAGCAATAGAGGGTGCAAAAATGATAGCAAGTGAAACAAAAGTGGGAAATACTAGGTGATGCAATGTTAAATACGTTACTTTTTCACTCACTGGGAGTCTTTGGTAGCCCACCCGTGCTTCTCCCCACAGGAGATGGGTGCCACTCCCAAACTGTAGAGCTGGAGCTGCCAGCCTAGGATGGTGCTGCTAGCATCTAACAGGCACGTCAGGAAGCAGAAAGCCCCGCAGCAAGTGGGTGGCGTTGTGTAAGCACAGGCTCAACCTGCACCCAGCACAGGCAGCTCGAGCACATTTCCAAACTGTAGATCCCGGGGCCGGGGGTTTAGCTCAGTGGCACAGCACCTGCCTGGCAAGTGCAAGGTCATGAGTTCGATTCCTGGTACCAGAAAAAAAAAACAAAAGAAAAAAAGAAAAACCAAACTGAAGATCACCAACTTCTGCGATTAACACAGAGTAATGAGGGTGATTAATAAGTGATAAAGAGTTACCAAGAGGGGGCTGGAGAGTGTACTTTTGCCAGATTCACATAACAGAGAATGCTTGGGAAGAGGTGAACAAAAATGTATATGGACATAAATTCTCCTAGAAAAGTGAGCTCAAGGCCAGCCTGAATTGCAGAGTGAGACCCTGTCTCCAAAAGACCAAAAAAAAAAAAGAATTAGTCAAATGTGTACATTCTTTTGTTACCCCCAGATACCTTACCAGTGACAGTGGGCCGTTCATTAGCTCGTGCCCACTGACGTCCATAAGGAATTAAGAAGTATTGGGCATGGGCAGGTCAATTAAAGGGTAAGAATATATCTCGTGGCCTTGGCTTCTACTGCCGGCACCCCAAAAAGAAAGTCCTGCCAGGTTGAAATTTCTTATAATGTATTTGGCTTTTCCACTTTTTTTTTTTTTTAAAAGGGGAAACAAACAACCCAGCCTCACACTTTCCCAGGCAGTTGCTTATGCTGCTAAGTTGTATTCCTAGCCCCACTCCCTTTGCAGTTCAGGGTGGCCTAGAGCTCAAGTGAGCCTCCTGCCTCAGCCTTCCAGCTGCGGGGATTACAGGCATGTACCATCAGGCCTGGCTTTCCACCATTTTCAAGGAGATCGTGGTTTCGAAACAAAACTAGTTCTGTTTTTGAATGAAAAAATTGTACATACCTAACAATTCAGATTAAACTAACATACTCATGAATTGAAGTAACGGTGACTGGTTCCTTTACATAGAAATGCAGCAAGGGCTTTGGCCAAACTACTGTTAATTGGTTTTATTCAAAGGCAGAGCATCTTCCAGTGAATTTTGGAGTATCATGGGGTTGGTAACTGATAGGTGATTGGTCATGGATATTGAATGAGAAGTTAAGTTTGAGCATAATTGCTTGTCAGAGCACTACACCATATTATGGGAAACGAGAGCAGTGGCGGCTAACCTGTGGCACACACTGCAGCAGGCTGTATCATCGAAGGCTCTGAAAGGTTCCCATCGCTGCTGTAGGGGCTAGGAGATTGTTCTTTTGTTATTTGTGGCTGAGACAGTCTCTGGCTGGGGATATAGCTCAGAGGCGCAAGTGCCTGTCTGGCAAGCTCGAGGTCGTGAGTTTAATTCTCAGAATCAAAAAAAAAAAAAAATTGCGTCTCACTAAGCTGCCAGGCTTGGCTTGAACTCGCAACTCTCCTGCCTCAGCCTCCCATAATGTTGAGCTGCTCCTTGCTTCTCATGCCTTGAGTCTAAAGTTCTCAGCTTGCTTCGTGTAAGTTAAGTCAGTGGAAACCTTGGGAAAACCCTGCACTGGCTACCACCATGTTTTCCACAAATAGAAGTGACATTGCTTTACATTTTTTGCACATCTCTTTAATTTCTGGTTTAATAAAAATCACTTCAATTCTTAAAAAAAATAAATAAATAAATAAATAAATTCTCCTAGAACTACTGCATTTAATTGTTTTAAACAGGAGCAAGATTTTTACACTGTGGAGCTGGAAAGGGGAGCGAAGGGCTTTGGCTTCAGTCTCCGAGGAGGCCGCGAGTACAACATGGACCTCTATGTTCTACGCCTAGCAGAAGATGGGCCTGCAGAAAGGTGTGGGAAGATGAGGGTAAGCTGAGAAAGGAGGCCGGGGTAGACGTAAGTAACCACGCGGCGGCTGCCTGACACACAGAACAGTCACGCTCCTGAGAGCTTCGTTTTCGGCAGTGCTTTACCCTACTCCCACCCTGCCCTGCTGCGTATCTCTTCCCAAAGTATTGTGAGTTGTAGCTGTAAATCTGCATGAATCTTTGAAGATTAAAATCACTAACAAATGTGTTGAAGTAGGTATTCTCTGAATGCCATTTCCATAGTTCTTGCGCTTGCTTGAGGTAGGTATCACTTCACAAGAATTGCTCAGTGCTCAGGGTGCTCAGGCAGCAGGAAAACCCTGTGGTCCATAGACTCTGGGATGAGCTCTAGTCATTCTCTCGCCAGTCCCCAGCTGTCTTCCTAGGATCAGAGACAGCAAGGTGACCCTCTGTCTCAGCAAAAGGACAACAACTGCACAGCATCAATATTCAGAGTGCTGGGGCTGGGGATTTAGCTCAGCGGCACAGCGCCTGCCTGGCAAGTGCAGGGTCGTGAGTTCAATTCCCAGTACCAGGTAAAAAAAAACAAAATAAATTCAGAGTACTGTGTAATCAAAGCTGCACATTTTAAATACACAAATGCCAGAAGTTCAGCCTGCTCTGTTGAGCGGTGTAGTATCTGTTGCTATGTGTCATTCTCCTGGGCAAATTAGATGATTAGGGAAAGATAAATTGTCTCCTCGTTATAGATAAGTCACCTAGATGGATATACTTGCATGGGAAGCCATTCGCAACCAATTAAAAGAAATAAAGTCAGTCGGGTCAAGAAAGGAAGAAAAGCGGGGCTGGGGATTTAGCTCAGCAGCAAAGCGCCTGCCTGGCAAGCACAAGGTCGTGAGTTCGGTTCCCGGTACCGGACTAAACCCAAAAAAAAAAAAAAAAAAAAAAAAAAAAAGAAGAAAGGAAGAAAAGTGAATTAAATTGGGCCTGAACGGAAAGAAGAAAAAACTGACCAGGAGTGAGGAAGTCAGTATTGTATTTGCACTTAAGGCACAATTTTGGTTTTTAACTTTCTTCAGACTGAATTTTTAACAATGTTTTTCTTAATTGAGGAACCACAAGTACAATGTGTTTCAAACAGGAAGCAGTGAAAAGTAGTGCACACATATAAAAACACAGGGGCTGGGGATTTAGCTCAGCGGCAAAGCACCTTCCTGGCAAGCACAGGTTGTGAGTTTGATTCCTGGTACCGGAAGAAAAGAAAAACAAAAAACAAACAAACAAAAAACAAACATATAAAAACACAGCTTCCAGGACCAAACAGTTCCTTATTTGTTCTGCCATTTTGCATATACATGGGGAAGATATTCAACGATAGATATATATAATGTGTATATATGTATATTTCTTTTGCTTAAATTTTAAGCACATGGGATATGCCTTCCCTGGTCTTGAATCATTCTTAGAAGTTTCTGGTTGGCTGGAAGGAGGTCATGATATTGTACATAAGGGTGTGCAGCCACCAGGAGACACTTATCAGGTGATCCTTGCAGCACAGTGAGGTAGGTGTGGCTTTGGCCGCTTCTGCACATAAGGAAATGGACTCCTGGAAGTTGAAGGATCTAAGCTAACAAGAAATGAGATTCATACTCACAGCTGTATACTCCAAAACCAGTGCTTTTCCTCTTTCTCCTTCTGGGACATAAAAGCTCCATGTGAGCGGCAGTCTGGCCTGTTTTGTTCACTTGCTTTTGTGCAGCACCTACAGCAGTGGCTGACCCAGTAAGCACTGCGTTCACTGTGTGAGCCAGGGCCATGGTCTCCTGAAGGGGGCCGGGCTATTGGCCAGAGCTCCGACTTGTGTCTTGTCTTGAGGCTCTGTGGTAGGGTTAGTTTTTATCATAGGACAAAATACCTAAGAAAGTGAACTTCACAGGAAGAAAGGTTTATCTGTAATCACTTCAGGGGGTTCAGTCCATGGTCCACTGGCCCCGTTGTTTGGAGGCCTGTGGAGAGTGGGTAGAAGAGCAAAGCTGCTCATACCATGGCAGCTGGGATGCAAAAGGGAGAGAAAAAGTGGGTGGGGTCTCAGGATCCTCTTTAGGGCCACGTCCTCAAGACCTAATTTCTCCATGAGGCCCCGCATCCGAGGCTGCTATCATCTGCTCCATGGGCTGAGGACCAAGTGATCAACACAGAGGCCTTTGGGGGACACTTTCAAGCCGTAGCAGGCAGCTGACCACACACATCAGAGTGAGCATGTGAGAGCAAAGTGAGCACGCAGACAGAAGCCACACTGTTCTGTAACCTAAGCTTCCAGCTGACATCTTAGGACAGTGACTACTTTCTGTGGGTTAGAAGGGAGTCGCTGGCTCCCGGCCATGTTCAAGGGAGGGAGACCATGAGCAGATGTGACTCCCCGAGGCAGGGTCCCTGAAGCCGCCCGCACCCGGTCCTCCTTCCCTCAGCAATTCCCCTCCCCTTACCACCTTGCTCTCTTCCTTTAGCTCGTAACGTTATTTAGCATATGTGTATCTTTCTAATTTTCTTACTAATTGTGCTTCCCTCATTATAATCGAATCTCCATGAGGATAGGGATTTCTGTTTGTAGTTTTCACTGCTGCATCCTAAGCAGTAAGAAATTTCCTGGAATGTGCTTAATGTTTGGTAAACAAATCAGTAAAAGAATGTTTAAACCAAATGGACCTCTACAGCTGCGACCTTGTCCTTCTGTTCTCTCTTGCCCCGGCAGATTGGTGATGAAATTCTGGAGATCAATGGCGAGACCACCAAAAACATGAAGCATTCTCGGGCTATAGAACTGATTAAGAATGGTGGCCGAAGAGTTCGTCTCTTTCTGAGGCGGGGAGATGGCTCCGTCCCAGAATATGGTGGGTCAAACTATGAAAACATTCCTTCCTTCCCTGGCATGACTCCATGAATTTGTCTCCAGAACGGCAGCAGAAAAGTTCCTTTTGTTCCCCCTAATCACCAGTGTCTTACCAGCCTCTTGCACCATGTGATTATTTGCCTCGCTTGTTCTGAAATCTCTACACATTTCACCCTTTTGCTTGCTTTCGTGGACTGGGGCGTGGCCTAGACAAGGTCCTGGTCGCCCCCTTTCTGGTAACCAGAGAGAACGTGTGTCTAGTTCGACCAAGAGCGAAGGAATGTTTGAACTGTGCCAAACTGTTTCTCAGATCCAATTGTTAGCACAAAATGACTATACACTCCTTTCAAGAAGCAGGAAAGCAGGTTTCCTGAGTGATATGTTGAGGCACAATATATATTTTTTCTTTTTTGGTTACTTGATACGTTTATGTAAGAGACGTGTAATTTCAAGATGATTTGGGGGCTTGCTCACCCCTGTATGCTCTGGATACAATGATTCTCCACCCCCCTGCTGGTCTCTTGCCCCAACCAGATGACTTGAGCCCACTACTGTCAAACAAACGAACACGAACTGTTGCTATATTAGCCATATAGATTCCCAGTGCTCACCATGAGGGAAACATGTTACTATACCTTTCCTGTGAGGAAAGCCAGGTTATACATAGAGTTCCTTTATCATCTCTTTAGACATGATTTGAGTAGACAGAAATGGTCTTTACATAGCTTAGTGTTCTGATGGCAAACTACTGTATATTGTAATAATTATGTCCTATTAAGATTCTTGTTTAAAATTTTAAGAATAAAAAGGAAAAAGAAAACTATGCCCTAGATGTAGGGCTTTTTTTCCCCAACCAAAGGTCTAAAAAAGTTTCTATAGAAACTGTGATTGAATGGCCCCCAGATACATTAGTCCCCTTTATTAGGGATTTCTCTGTTATCACCCTCTTTTCTGAAAGTCGTTCTGCACAATTCCCAGTTGCATTTTGGACTTGATGAGGTGCTCAGTGTAGATGCAGCTTAAGGAAAATAGCTCCTGTGAAAGGCACCCTTCTAGGTGTTGGACATTGGTCCAGGTGCACAGAAGAGGGTCCAGGGTGAGGAGAGAGGGTATCAGAGGAGGTGCTGCAGATGTGGCCAAGCCTGGAAGGAAGCGGCAGCGTGAGGCTGCCTTGGCCTGGCACTGTGCTCCACCCTGACCGCTGGGGGTACTGGTGCCCCTGAACCTGTAACCGTGTCTCCCCTTCTGTCTTCCCTGTGCTTCTGTCAGATGTGAGATTTCATTTGGGAGTTACCGTCAGTAGCCTGTGTACCTTCTCCAGACCTGTGTCTCTTGCACTGAGGATGAAAATCCAACACTAACAAATGTTCTTTGGGCTAAAAATAAAGATCATTCACACGGTTTCCCAAGAAGGGTTTAACACGCCAGGGTTGCTCTGCTGTCATGTTTCCATGTGTCCTTTGGACTAAATCTCTCCCATTCTGTTGATTAGAGTCACAAATGGGTTACTCTTTGTTAAGTTCCAATATTTTTCTGACTTGACTGGAACCTGCTTCTCTGTGAGGCTATTTTTGTAATGAGTTTTTGTACTTAATTTAACTGCGACAGGGGCGGGGTGGGGGGCCTCAGGGAGGGGACTTGTTCTTTTGTGTTGATTGTTAATGCTCTCCTATGCCAGCCTGTCATTGTTCCAGTTGTTTGAAAAAAAAAAAAAAATAGGACGCATCAGTTGCCTGGGTTCTCGAGCCACCTTCTACTGTCTGAAACGTCACGTCCCGATCACGGTCTCTGCAGCCTTATTTCTAGTGTTGCCTTAGACTGTCTGACTGGACAAATAAACTCTCTTTGCCCTGTGTTAACAAATGCAGATTTTATTTTCTTTCTTCTTTGTTATAGGGAATCTAAATGCTCAACTTTGTCTCTCTCTCTCTCTCCTCCTCTGACTGTTCTTGGTGCTGCCCTCCCACAGCGATGGTGCCTCCTAACATCGCTGCATGTATGAGAAACGAAAAGCGCGGGGAGGCTTGCTTCTACCTTACGGGCCATAGTCAAACTACGGTTTGTAGCTCGCTCAATACTAGGTGTTTCTGTGCTGTGGCCTAATTTCCTCATTGCTTCTGCTTAGCTCTATTTTGGTATGTCTGGCAATTCATTTGAGCACCCTGCGTTCTCTGAATTGTAAGTACACCATGGACCTTGTCTTAAACAAAAGAACTCCAGTTAGATTTATAGTAATGATAAGGACCTTTTCCTCACCCAGCGTCAAATGAGTTTGTGTCCCTTCTAGAAAGAGTAAACCCTACATTACAGAGCTTACCTGTGTCCACAGGACTCTGAGTACATCCCCGGGGCCAGACATTGTCCACAGCCGCTCTCTCCTAATAAAGTTTTCTTGGCACACCCACACCCTGCACGTGCTGCCTGCGGCTCCACAGCGTAGGGGCAAATGGAGACCGTGTGATCCAAAGTGTTTTCTACCTGGCCTGTCAGAGAAACTTGGCTGACCCCAGTTCTAAACTACATCCCTGCCACCTTGTTAAAAGCCATCCTGGGTTTTGGGAGATCCTTCATGAAATGCATGGATTGCTTACTAGAGACCCTGTTGCCTTTTGAAAGATCTTTCAGGCATTGCAGGTATTCCTGCCTTGGTCACACCGGTCTGCCCTCCACCCTGGGGCTCGGCGTTCGAGCACCTATAACTTCCTGAGTTTACTTTCAACAAAACATCCCTGCTTTGAAAAGAGTTCCCATAAATTCTAGATGCTGCTAAAGCATCTCCTGTGTGCTTTCAGATCATTTCATAATAAAGACCAGGTGCTGTCATGGAAGGCCTTGCTTTCAAGTTTGCAAATATCTTGATGGTCTAAGAAGCAGTTCGGTGACTGCATAGTTCCTAGATAGCATTATGGCTGCTTCACATATCGTCTAGAAAAAAGTATCTTTAAACCTGAAAACGTTACGCACCCCAGCTAACTTCAGATTTGTACGTAACACCATTTTTATTGACCAGCAAACTTTGCATTTTAAAAACTGTTCCCTTTTTTTTCTGATTGACACAAAAGTACCTAACCGGTGAATAACACCCGCAAAGGTAGAGAGAATACTTTTAACGACCCTAGGGTGTGGGTCGCATTTGTCAGTCAGCTTCTGGCCAACATGTTGCCTCCATTTCTTTTAACGTAGAAGTCAGGCCAGGCTAGGTGGCCCACGGCTGTAATCCCAGCCCTCTGGAGGCCAGGCAGAAGGATCGTGGCCCTGAACTACCTAGGGAGAGCCTGCCCCCGCAAGAAGTAAATGATGGAATAAAGCCCGAGTGAAGGTGCAGCAGGTCACTCTGTAGGCCCCCAAGTCACCACCCTGAGACGCACGATTTCGGCGCCCTGACCCTGCCCTCCTGCTCCTCCGGGCGGGCGTCCTCCCCGCCTCAGCAGGTGTGCTGGCGGGTGCTGGGGACGGCGGGAGGCGGCCGCGCGCGCAGGCCCGGGGCGGGGTGTGTGCGCGGCTCC